TATCTTTTTCTATTCGTCATTGCACTGAAGACTACGACGTTTTGGAGGATTTCATTGGCGTAATGCCATGCGACGAGGGATTATCATCCGAAGCCCTTTTAAAATATGTTCAAGATATATTGGTCGGATGTAATATGAACACTTAAAAAATGGCTGGAGACGAACAACAGCAAGCGCCAAGAGCGAAGAGAAAGAGAACCATACCAACACACATGACCGATTACGTAGTGCATTCCAGCACTCCAGTTGCACCAGTAACGTTAAATGAGAAAGATGAGTTACGACGCCAGTTTTACGAAACATTAGACTCTATCAAGGAAGCCATCAAGACTCGCTTCGACCAGAATGACTTGCAAGTTTTGAAAGAAATTGAAAGTTGCCTGTTAGCTGCAGCAAATAAGGAGTATTCCAGTTCCGATTAACTTGTAAAGAAACTGGGGGAAAGTCTGTCGGAGATTATCGACTTGGATGGGCTAAAAAGTGAGCTTGAAAAACTTCCAGTATATATTAAGTTATATAACAAAGAATCTGAAATTCCTCTGAAGAAAGTCACCAAAATTTCCACTATTTGTGATGTACTGTCCAAGAAGCAAAGCTTCAAAGAAAGCCTACCCCAAATTGACAAGTTATTGTCTTTTTACAATGTCGTGCCTTTAGTGTCAGCAACCGCGGAGAGGAGTTTTAGCGTTATGCGTCGGATCAAATCGTGGATACATTCAACTATGTCTGATAACAGCCTAAACAACCGAATGTTTAGCACAATCCATAAAAACAGAATTGACGATGTCTGTACCACCACGATTGCTAAAGATTTTGTGCAGGCCAATGAGCAGCGGCGAAAATATTTCGGGTCGTTTGAATAAACATGTAAATTTAGGGGTTAATTGTGGACATCATAGAAGCGTAGTAATCGGTCGTCTCTTGTATCAAACAAATCTATATGACTAAAACAGTTATTCTTTTTTTACTTTCTTATCTTCTCAGAAATATTCTTGAACGGTTAATTATAAAGCTACATATTATTTCTAATAAGATTAAAAAACAATTCTAAAATTAGAAAACACGTCACACTGGACGTTGCAAATAATAGATGCCCTTTCGAAATGGCTGCCCCCGCCGCCAAAAGTTGCTTCCGGCGCCCCTGTGTATAGCGCTATGAATCCTACAAGCTAGGCCGTACGTGTATGTACATGTATGTACGTGTATGTACGTGTATGTAGGGTGTATATTCATATATTCATGTTTATTTTATATACCATAGGAACAATAGCATACAAAAGAAATCATTCAGGCATAAGACGAATATATGAATATTCACCCCCCCAATTAAACTTCTAGCTATGGCCCTGCCTACAAGTAAGAAACGTCTTGTTGAAAGCAATAAACTTAAATACCAAGAGATGGATTCTATGCATAAGAAAGGACTTCTTGATAAAAATGTGCATAAATACAAGGAAATTGACTCTGCAAAAAAAAATGCACTCGTACAAAGTAACAAAACTAAATACAAGAAAATGGACTCTGCGAAAAAAAATGCACTCGTACAAAGTAACAAAAGTAAATACAAAGAAATGGACTCTGTGAAAAAGCACTCAGTGAAAATAACAAAAGTAAATACAGATAAATGGACTCTGCGAAAGAAAATGCACTCAGTGAAAGTAACAAAAGTAAATTCAAAGAAATGGACTCTGCGAAAAAAAATGCACTCAGTGAAAATAACAAAAGTAAAAACAGAGAAATGGACTCTAGAAAAGGACTCTAAAAAAGAAGTGCTTCTTCAAAGTGCAAAACATAAATACCAAGAGATGGCTCCCACAGAAAAAAATAGCCTCCTTGAAAATAAGAAGATGAAATACATGGAAATAAATCCTTTCAAAAAGAAACATCTTCTTGACGATTATGCATGCAAATACCAAGAAACGAACTCTCACAAAAAGACTGCTTTCTTGAAAAAAAGAAACTTAAATATTAAGAGATGGGTCCTGCAGAAAAGAAACGACTTTGTGAAGAAGCTTCACGTAAATTCAAGTAAATTCGAAAAAAAAATGAAATTGAAACATGGCGGTGTGCGGACGTGTCTCACAGCACAGCGAGCAGAAGAATCAAAAATACCAAATTGGTGAAGAATCATTGAATATTTTAGTTGCTTTAACAGATGAGAACCTCTCTAAGTTAAATTATGATGGCAAGAGCGTCAAATGGAACGGAGATCTAGCCCTATTGAAGCAAATTAACATCAGACACCTTTCATTTTGAGGGCAAATGGACTTCGCCTGGTGGCAGAAGGAAAACATTTCAAAGCTCTTGTTTCGACCTTAGCTTGGTATGGTGCCCGGACAAACAAAACTCCTTGACCTTTCAAGGTAAGGACGGTGATACCTTACACAAATCTTGCATTAGATTCTGTACAGAAAACTCAAGAATACTGGAATTGTGAGTCCGGGCGAGGATTGTATGAGTGCACGCGTAAGTGAATGTTTGAGAGCCGACAATAGAAATGTATGCAAATCGCATGACACTAAGAACTTAAATCCGATTCCAATAGCTAACCTATTAACACAAACAAGCGACCACCTATCTGTGATCGATGCCCAAGCAAAGGAACATAAAAATGTTGGATTGGTTCCATCTGTTTGTCAATTAAACAACCCGGTGTGTGGCTGTCAGTGTAACGTCCTGACTGCTGAGCTTGAGGGAGTCAAGCTCGATATGGCCATTATGAATAGGAAATTAGAGTCGAAATCTATTCAGCCAAATCCCTTAAGTCAAATCTAAGCAAAACCTCACCACAGTTGAAACTACCCAACAAATTTGGTGATCCCGTCAAAATGAATTACTTAAGCTAAAACCAGCAGAACCAACAAGTCTTAGCCTCGTAATAGCCCAATCAAAGTCGATCATTTAAAACGTATGAACCTAAATTCTAGCACAGAACTAAACACTACGCCTAACATGAAGCCATCTCCTCTTGGCAATGAGATATCAACTTTGAAGCTAAGCAAGAACTCTGCTAAAGGTGACCATAATAACCTGGATGAAGTCTCTGAGGAAAGCCAACTCCGCAAACATATAACACAGATACCGTTAAAGATCGACAGGTTACCACTGATTGATTTAATAAATTCACCTACTAAGTCAGACGTTCCTAATCCTAAAAAGTCTGTTAGTGCTGCCCGAACGTCCATCAGGAACTTCCTGATGAGTCCAGTGTGACAGAATCGTTCAAGTCAACCCATTGACCTACAAATGATTCCTCACAGTTTTTTGGGGGGACTCCCTTTCCGTTATCGGGACAAATCTGGGAAGCTTCATTATACTGCTTCGAATACATTAACTCAGAGAAAGCTAGGTTCACGTAACAAAGTACAACCATCTAAAGAATTCAGTCAAAGGGTAAATAAGCCTAGCAAGTCAACAAGAGAAAAATCCTGACTTAGTCTGCCTCACCGAAACATGGCTACATGATCTAACCATCAATGAACATCTCCTTATCCCTGGTTATAGTTTCATGTTTAAAAACCGTGTTTCTCAATTACATGGAGGCGTGTGCTTATACGTTAGAACCCCAATTCCATACAAACGCTTACTTGAATTCGAAGACCCCCAGATGGAGGTGCTCTGGTCTTATATTAGGCCCCGCAGATTACCCCGTGGTATGTCCTGTATTATCCTAGGAATTGTATACCATCCTCCAAGCTCCGACGACAGAACAATGTTAGATTTCCTAACAACCACACTTATTTTTGCAGAAAGCACTTACCCAGGATGTGGCATATTGCTAACCGGCAACTTTAATCATCTGATGATCCGGCGCCTTTTAGCCCAATTTAAAATGAAACAGCTTGTCCATATCCCAACCAGAGGTAACAATTTATTTCACCTTATAATAATCAACATGTACCAAGCCTATGATCAGAACTCTGTTCACTTCATCCCCCCTTTTGGCCTTTCGGATGATAACGGTGTCATTCTTCGACCCACGGTACGACCCACCAATGCCAACTCCAGCAGGAAAACCATAATAAAACGAGACACTCGCCAAAGTAGGAAGCACGAACTCGGCAGGTACTTAAGTTCCATGGATTTGTCGATCCTGGGGAAGGTCGAAACCTGTGAAGCCAAATCACAATTTCTCGTTGATTTAATAACTATTGGCATCGATACAATTATACCCCAAAAGCAAGTAAGACTTCATGTAAACGATCCTCCATGGGTTACTTCTGATTTTAAAAAACTAGTAAAAACTCGTCAGCATGCCTTCTCAAACGGTGAGTCAGAAACGTATCATTATTACCGAAACCTTGTCAATCGGGATTGTCCCATTGAAGGAAAATCCTTCGAAACAGATACTTTGCAGCCAAGGTCCAGCATCTTAAGAACACTAAACCAAGCCAGTGGTGGAACGCAATCAAACATATTGCAGGGATGACAACACCTTGCGCCTTTGAGACCTTATGTTTTTAAATACAAATCTCAGGTATTGACTCATCCTCGCCTCAGGAAATTGCCAGCATGATAAATAAAGCCTTTCTTGAACTGATGCAAACTTACCAAAGTGTTGACCCCCCTTCTCCCTTCGAATCAAGTTTGGATCTACCTCAAATCTGGGTTGCGGCTGTTTCATGTGTCCTGCGGAATCTACCCCATAAAGCACCTGGACCTGATGGGATTCCAAACTGGATTCTAAAGGAATACGCCGTAATACTTTCCGACCCTATTTGCCATGTTATAAACTGTTCCTTTGCTGACCAATATCTTCCCTCATCTTGGAAAGTAGCTAATGTCATCCCAGTATCAAAACAAAGCCCGGTCGAGGATGTGAACAATCACCTTAGACCCATTTCCCTAACGCAAACTATTTCCAAAGTCGCAGAGGAGTTTGTTGTGGAATTGTATATCGCACCTGCGATCCTGGATATTATCAATCCCCGTCAGTTCGGAGCCATACCGAAGTCCTCGACAGCGCATGCCCTTTTTTCCATGATACACCACTGGGCTCAAGCAACGGACGCTACAGGAGCTGCAGTCAGAGTAGTTCTGTTTGACTATAAAAAAGCGTTCGATTTAATCGATCAACAAATCCTTCTATAAAAGATCTTTAGTTTAAACATCCCCCGGAGCATTGGGCGGTTGGTAGCCGACTTTT